GGACCCAGCAAAGGTAAACACACAGAGATTGAACCCAAAAGGACTTGTAGGTGGGAGAGATGTATAAAAAACACACTTGAGGTAAGTTTTTTATATACACAGGTTTAGTTGGATTTAAGTTGGGATAAGAAAAGATGGTTTTCTGTAAGAGGGTCATAGGGAACTCTTGCTGTTAATAGCTACAGATGTTTGTATGATTATTAACATAGAAAGACAATGAAAAGGTATGGCTTGCAGGAACTTGGGGTTAGGTATCCTTTGAGGATGAGGGGTTGCCTTGAATGGCACACTGGAAGATAGAGTTGCTTTTAATTTGGGTGTATACAGGTTTTAATCACTCTTCATGTGTCTTGCAACTAAGAAAGAGGAAGAACATGGAAAATATCAGTACCAAGCAAAGCCTGAAAATGGAACATAAAGTGAGTCTACAGGGAGGACTTCACTCAGAATTTTGTTCCCACTTTGGAAAGATTTAGAAACATCAAGGAGATTTGACATACATTCTTTTACTACATATGATATTTTAAACAATCCCCTATGACAACTATTCTCAGCCTGTCCATGTTGTATTTGTTCTAAGTATCTAGAGATGACTAGATATGTATGCAGGCAAGACACAGTTTCATAAAGAGATAGTCATAGATGTCTACATCAACAGTCCCAGAACTAGAAACAACTGTTACAGCAATTGGTATATAAGTTTTTCAGAGCATGGACCTAGTCTAGAATTCCCAAATTCTAGTGCTGGAACATGAAAAGCTTATTGGAAACATAGACTCCCAGACTCAGTTGTAAGATTCTGATTTAGTATGTTAACTTGGAGTCTAGGAATCTGTAGCGTTAGCAAGTTATTCATTTGATTTAGGATGAGTGAGTCTTAGAATATCCTGGCTGCTTTAGTCTCTTCCCAAGTTAGCATGTCAACAAATTGGAGGCTTCACCAGTAAGATACAAACAAAATAGAATAATCTTAGTCTTAGTCATCTCATATCCATGTTTATGTATGGGTTCTGTACATGAGAAAACCACACCATCCTTGCCTTCTGTCGTTGCCTCCTCATCCCTCAGAGTGTTCTTTCTCAGCTGCCTATTCTTTTATATTTTATTTTCTGTTACACTTCCATTCACCTTGGCATTCTTTGCTCTATTAACTGAAGACCCTTGGAAAGATATGGAATTATGGATCTGTTGAAAGCAACAATATTACAAATTGTGGATCTGACTTCTCCAGCAAAAGCCTCAAGGAAACTGCCTGAGCCTGCCTTACTTGGGGAGGCACAAGTGGGGAGAGACAGTGGGGAAAAACCAGTGGGGAAGGACAATAGGGAAAGACAAGTGGAAAGGGGGTTTGCAAAATAATCTTTCCTTTCAAACTTCCTTTGACGTTTCCCTCTATGATTTGAAGACAGAGCAACTTTCTTCCAGACACAATTTACTAGAGCACCAAAGACTACAGTGTCCTTTAGCAGTGTGCACTACAGTTAAATAATTGTTACTGATAAGGAAAATACATTTCATGTAACAGTCCACAGATACACTCAGTGCAAGCACACTCTTGCAAACACATACAAACACACACACACACACACACACACATACATACACACACACACACACACATGCACGCCTCTACATATCTCTATTATACCTACAAGCCAAAACCTAGGTTATTTGTCTTTCTGAGACTGGCTTAATGTCCTTACTGTGACTGTTTCCACCTGCATCCCCCAAATAGAAATACTCATTTTATAAAGCGTTACTTACCTTTACTAGGATCAGTGCATTTATTCTACATTAGGGCCTGTCCTTTCTTTTCCCTTTCCTGTCCTCTTGTCCAATCTCTTTCCTTCCCCCTTTCCTGATGGCAATCATGGCACTATAAGTGGTTTTGCCTTCCTGTTTGAAGAAGGCTGAGATCAGGGTATTTACTTTCCCAACAAATGTGAGTAGAACAGAAGAAAAGGGGAGTGAGAATACAGTTAAAATTTGTTTGCTAATTTTTCTGTCTTTCTTCTTCAGCCAGCAGCTCCCTTCATTCATCTATCATCTTCCTGAGCTCGTGCAATATCTGAATCCTGTTGAAAAGTTCTTGTTGTCTTAGAGATTGATCATCCAGAAAAGCATTAAAAACACTCTTTGGAATACAACCAAAGACAAAGAAGTGCTCTCCTCTTAGCAGGGTGATCTCCTCCACTGTCCCACAGTGGGCAAGTTCTGGCCCTCTTATCTCTTAACCTGAAATTCTAACTGCCTGTCAAATCCTTCCCTTTGCTCCTTCTCTCACCTTCAGAGCTCATTTCCCCTCCTGAAGGGTAATACAGGCATAATGTGTGCTGGGGAGGAGGATATACAGTTCCCTTGTCCTGCATAGGCAGGTGCAATCCACAGCAAAAGACAGTCAGTCACTGCTATTTCCAATTGAAGTTGTTATGTTCTGCACTTGTGAATAAACAGAGAAACTCAAACACTCAAGGTTTTTCATAATCAGGTTTTTAAAAAATTAGATTTATTCATTTTATGTTTGGTGTGTTTTGCCTGTGTGTGTGTGTGTGTGTGTGTGTGTGTGTGTGTGTGTCTGATGCCCCTGAAGCCAGAGAAGAAGGGCATCAGATCCCCTGGATCTAGAGTTACGGATGATTGTGAACCACCCACCCAGTGTGTGCTGAGAATCAAACCTGGGTCCTTTGTAAAAGCAGCCAGTGTTCTTAACCAGGACTGTCTCTCAGACCTGACAATCAGCTTTCCAGCTAGCAAGCTCCAATTTCATTGCAACTGCTTTATTGTGGGCACTAAATAGCAATCACAATTTTGTTTCCTACTCTTTTTTTGGGGGGGGTTATATTTTTTATTATTTTTATTGGTTATTTTATTTATTTATATTTCAAATGTACTATTTGGTCTTTTAAAATATCAATGAAAGAAACAACCAGCTTTGTGAGTCCCTTTTCATTAAAGCAGCTTTGTGAGTCCCTTTTCATTACCAAAGAGGAAAATTCACCTGACACCAACACCTCTAAATCTCCATAAAGTAAAACAATAGGGCTGGAGATGTAGCTCAGTGGTAAGTGCTAGCCTAGGTTGGCTCACCATTATAACAAAATAGCAATAAAAAGCGCAATGCAACCCACCCACATTCTTATGCTGCCCGGCATCTTCCCCACACACTTTACTAAAAATATCTTCCCTGGCATTTTTTATTCTTCTTCTTTAACTATCAGGCATTTGGCAAATTAATTCTCTTCCACGACATGCTCATTATACATATAGTTTAATGGTAAAATTATGAACCTTGAGGTTCTTGTGCGGCTTTAAAACTATGAATTGGACTTATCTTAGTTCTTTTAAATATAATGTCATCCACTGAATTTCTGAGAATAAGGAATCCATCAAAGACATCTGGGACCATATCCAAAGGAAGACTCTCTCAGACTGAGGATGGGGAATTATGAGCCCTAAGGAATTAAAAGTAGCAGAACATTGAAGCACACCAAGTAGTGACCAAAAAAAGCCAGGTAATCACAGGTTTGTATAGTTGCACCAAAAAAGAAAGTCATTCATTGTCTCTTGAGTGTGCAAGGATACCAACTCATTCTGGAAATTAACAAAGTAGGTATTAAAGTGATAATTTTGTTCAATACTTAACACGCAGCCTCTGTGAGCAAAGTAGGTTGCACCCTACATAGCATACATAGCTTTAGAGGAGTTTCCTAAGATGTGCCCTTTGCCTTGTAAATGATTCTCAGGCTAACCTTGCTTAGTTTAGTTTGTTTTTCCTGTAATTTCATGTAAATGAAATCACCCAGTATAGTGTCTTGTACTGACTTTCATTTAGCATTTTTCTTTTATTATTTATCTGATCAGGGAAAGTTCATTTCTTTGATCACAGAGTAATATTCTACTGTAGAGTGTTATCATGACTCATTCACCCATTCCCTAGTGTTTCCCTTCAGCCCCTGAAATGATCATGCTTCCTAGTGTCTTTATGTGCTGATCACACTGATTGATTTCCAGGATGATTTGACTCACAGAATAAATCCTGTGTTCTCAGGGCCAGCTCCCTGGTTATGTATTAGCTTTTAAACATTGAATTTGATTTGCTAAAATTTTGTGCCTTTGTGTCTATGTTTATGAAGGGTGCTGACCTTCCCCCACTGTCTGAGGTCTTTCGTCAGGTAAAGCTGGTCTTACAAAATAAATTCAGATATGTATTTTGCAACTCTTTGCAGAACGTCGAGAAACATTACACTATACATAAAATGTAACTCAGCAAGTGTTGTTTAAATGTACATGTTTAATATATAAATGTTTTGTTCCTATCTTTCTTGATTTCCCCTTAATTTCCACAGCAAACATATTTATATTCACTTTCACACATAGCTGAATAATTGGCTGAATTCGTATATGACGTGTAACACAGCTTTAAAAAAACAAAAACAAAATACAAAAAAATACAAAAAATAAAAAATACAAAAAAACAAAAGGCACTATGGAGGGGGGACAGGGGGGTTATTTGCTAGAGATGGAACTGAGACCCTTAGAAAGTGTTAGACTCTTCCTGAACAGAGAAGCTTCCTACCTTGAACAGATTCGCACCATGAACACCCGTTACAAGCTTTTATGAGTAACACATGTACAAGGTACCTCGTGTCCCTATTTACATTATAAAGTTAACATAGCAATACTTAATACTTAACTTTTTTTTTCTATGAAGGTGCACACTGCTTTAATCGAAAGAAGGCACGTGAAACAATGAAATTCCAAGAGAGTGCGGCCTGAAGGATACTAGTTGAACTGGGCATGCTCAGTCGCCAGGCAGATTTTTTTTTTTTTTCCCAGTGAAGTGGAAACTACAACTGCGCGTACCGGGTGAACGGGGGTGGGCGTGCCCTCGTGGAATTTAGAACGTTCTCTTAGCCAATGGGGCCTCGCGGCTGGCTGGCAGGGCTCGCCATTGGGGGACCGGGATGCGAGCGAGTGGAGCGCCGGGGGAGGAAACGGAGGTGCAGGTCGGAGAGGCCGGGCTAGCCGAGCCCATTGCGGGAGTAGCAGCAGCGGCCAGGCAGCATCCAGCAGCGTGCCAAGCGGCCCAGCCCGTTGCTTTACTTTTGCTGCACCGACTTAGTCATTATGCCGAAGAGAAAGGTAAGTCCTGCAGGGGAAAGAAAAAAAAAAAAACCTGCTCCCAGGCCCTCGAGAGTACTCGGAGTAAGCCCCCTGCGCTGCGATGGACGCGGCGATGCGCCTAATAACTCAGGCACTGGGCACCTCTGCTGCCCGCTCCTTTTGCAGATGCCTGTTGCTGACCTCGCTCGCCCCGCACGGAGCTCCGAGTGTTACTTTCCCTCCAGGGACGTTGTCCTCCCCTCTCCATCAACTCGTGCTTGGAATGGTTTCCATCTCTTGCCAGCTGCAGCCAGGGCGGGTGTCCATCCCCCCTCGCAGGAGTTTCCTCTTGGCAAACTCCAGGTTGTTCTCAGGGTGGAGGGAAAGCAATAAGAGGAGTCTCCCGGGCCAGGGAAATCGAAAACCGTGCAAGCATTCAGAGGAGCCAAGCAGGGTCCAGAGTGTCCCCCGGGCCGTGCCCAGGGCGGGCGCGATGCGGGCGGAAGGCCGGGAGAGGGAAAGCCATGTTTCCCTACGCCAGCCCTGCTGCGCCGCGGACCCGTATGTACCCACTCGGGCGTCAATCACCGGCTGCGAGGGCGGGCGGGGCAGTGCGCAGCGCCGGGTAGGCGGCGAGGAAGGGGACTGGTGCCAAGCTCGCCGACCCCGCCAAGGTCAGGGACCACCGAGCCTCTGCCACTGTTCCACCCACGACCCCACGCTTAGCCAGGCAGGGAACCGAGGTCTTTTTAGTCTCTCCTTTGCCCCTGGTGGGTTGTGTCCCCTCCGCGCAGGGACGTCACAAGCCACACGTGGGGCCACACAGCTCCCTCAGGGTGGGGCTTCGACTTGTCATTGGACTGGTAAAGGAAGGGCAGATTTTTTTCACCCCTCCCTGAGAAAAGCAATGTGTGAAGACTGCATCCTAAAGAAATAAAAACCTTCCTGCCACCTGCCCAAAGAACCCAAGTCAACCATCGTAGCCATTAAAGTTGAAACTTGATTCAAATAATGCCCTGCTTTCCCCCAAGATCATGCACTGCGTATGCAGTTGCTTTATTTAAAACTACCAACGCTTTAAAAAAATTAGGAGCTTTTGCTTTCTTATATATTGTCACTAAGAATTTTATTGTAAACACTTCCATTCCTTTTAAATTTATTTTTATTACATGTATTTATTTATTATATTCACGGGAGGCACTGGCACCCACGTTGCAGTAGTACACTCTCTCTTATTGTGTGGGTTGTAAGTTGTGGAAATCTACAGCAAGTGTCTTTTTGAGCCATCTCTCCAGCCCGAGCATCTCCATTCTTTAAAGGAAAATCTTATCATACTATTAGAAGGTTTTTCATAGTGTTTAATGTAGACCTACTGTGTGCCTCATGGTGAGTAGAGTCTGATGTGCTTTATCTCACTTAATCTACATAACCACAGAACTATTTTAGACCCATTGAGCAGCGTCTTAAGATTCATTGCACAACATTTCATTAATCAGTCATTGGTTTAGTTTATAGTGGAGCGACTGTGAATCCCGAAGGCCTTACTTGACACTGTTGCTAACTCTTTCTCTTCCTATGGAGATGGGTGGGGACAAAAGGAATTCAGGAAATCCAGAGTCTTGTAGTTGAAGAAGCGTGTTAAGAGTAGGAGCACTTGAGACTCGTTCAAGTGTCGTTTGATGGCGGCATTGTTTTTTTACCGTGCTATTGTTCTAGAGTGATGTCACTATTTGCTGCCTTTTATCTGAGGTTGGTGACGTGTTGTGAATTCTAGCAGAATCAGAGGAACTAATTATCCAGAAATGAACTAGAGAGGAAATGGAGGCTAACTCTTTTCCTCGAAATTATTAACATGTTTGGAAAAGCAGCAGGTCACGTGCTCCCTTTATGAATAATGGCTCCTGGCTTGATGGAATGTTTCCTTAATCAAGGGCCACTTCTGGTGAAACCATCATTCTTATTGTCTGTCACTATCCATCTCTAAAGGGGTACAGGGGAAGGAAAGAGTGGAGTACAAAGTGGCTTTATGTTTTACTTCTCTGGAAGACTGGGACTCTCTATGGAGTTAGCCAGTACCCAGTCCTTCAACTAGGAACAAACCTGTGTACACACAGCAGTGTACATATATGTGTATGGGTCCTTCAGAACATCTGAGAAAGCCTCCTTGGTTAACAAGAAGTCTTTTTACTGATAACTGGAGGCCAAACACCTATCTTGGTACCTGGGTAGGGACAGCTACAGATTGCATGGCTGTGACAGCCAGCCTACCTAGGAATCAAGCCTTACAGCTGCCTGGTGGAGTCTTGGAGTTCTTTGGAACTGACATTAGAAACCACTGTCCCCAGGTGAATACACTTATGCAGGAAAGGAATTGGAGACAATCTGTGCATAGTTCTTAGACATCTGTAATGTCAGATAATTACTGAAGGATTTGCATACTGCAGTACTGTATTTTCTTAGCTAAAGAACTACTTGTTCTGCTTTGTAAATTAAATTGTGGTACACACACGCACGCACACATGCACACAGGAATACTAGTTGCTCTCCACCTCATTTTTTGAGTCAGGGTCTCTCACTGAGCCTAGAGTCTCTCACTGAGCCTAGAGCTCACTGATTTGGGTAGATTGACTATCTTTGCCTCTCCAGCACTAGGCTTACAGACGTGCAGACACCTGGCTATTATCTGAATGCTGGGGATCAAATTCAGCTCCCTATGTTGAGAGGCAAACCCTTTAAACACTGAGCCATCCCCCCCACCCTGTAATCAGTGATAAAAGTACTCACATCACATTTTCCCTGCCATCTCTGCTCCTTGTTTTATGGAAACGTTATTTAATGGACTTCCAGGTTCTGCAGAGCAAAACATGGTACTCATAAAGTCAGTGAAACTATCTGAAAACCTAGCGCTGTTTAAATATTGGAGGGACACACAGTGTGTTCTCTAGGAGCTTATGTTTAATTCAATGACCTGATAAGTCTAGCAGATTAAAAAAAATGCTGACTGACATTTGGACATATATAGGTTACAGAATGTGCTGTTCAGATTCAAAGACTGGAGGGTAGATAAGAAAACAGGTTGAATTTGTCCTGGCTGATCTTAAAAAATTGTGGGTAGGACTCAAGGGAAAAAAATAAGAATCATTTTCTATTACCAGGCATTGGGATGCCTCTTGTTAATCCTAACATGATTACTCCTCAGCTGCTCAGCCTCAAGGCCACAATGCCATCTATATTATTATAAACTCTCTAAAGAAGCATCATCTTTGCAAATTTTATACATACATATATGTTAGTGTCATTAAACCAATTTTTAAAATGACTCCTGTTTACTTTTTTTTTTTAAAGCAGTGCAGCCCTTAACATTTTAACATCTTTCTGAGATTTAAATACTTTTGAGTTTTCTGTGTTACATAATGGTGATAAGCAAGTGAAATCTCACGGACTCAGGTAGTGGCGGGACAATGACTGACTGAGTTCTAGACTGTTCTGTTCAAACCTCGACAGATGCCAGCAGCAGTCGTGTTGTGATCTGATGTTCTATGTAGAAGCATTACCAGCAAGGCCTGTATTCAGTCCTGGCCTGGTCAGCAAACACATTCTCACATTCTTTTTTATGTTTCTAATTCATTATCCCTAGAATTACTGTGTCTGACATATCATGCCAGAAATTGTCTCGTATGGCGATGTCTACAGGATAGATGTAGAGTACATAGTGGTCTCTTCCCATTTAGAGACTCAAGAAAGAAAAGTCTGCCCATTCTTCACTTTGTATATCAGCTGTAAGAGTTCCCTGGTGGAATGCTCCCAGTCATAGTATGTATACTTACTGTGTATAGTATGCATAGATAGTATCCTTAGGTATGATTTCCTTATATGCACTGCTGTCTATCATCTGCAAATACCAATGCTTTGACTTCTTCCTTTCCAATTTGTATCCCCTGGATGTCCTTCAGTTGTCTTATTGCTCCAACTAAAACTTCAAGTTGTCTTCAGTGGAATTTCTTTTAATTTCTCTCCATTTAATTTGATGTTGGCTATAGGCCTGCTGTAGATTGCCTTCTTTATGTTTAGGTATATCCTTTGTATCACTCATCTCTCCAAGACTTTTGTCATGAAGGGGTGTTGAATTTTGTCAAAGGCCTTTTCAGCATCTAATGAGATGATCGTGTTGGTTCTTGAGGGTGGAGAGGCTACTAATGACTGCTTCTGTTCACTAGCAGTTGTAGGTCTATTTTTGTTTCTTTCAGTTTGTTTATACAGTGGATTATATTTACTGGTAAACTATCCCTACTTCTCTGGATTGACACCTGCTTGATGGTGGGGGATGATCTTTCTGATGTGTTCTTGGACTCTGTTATTTTCTTTCCTCTCAAGCATTTTATTAAGTATTTTTGCATATATGTTCATAAGGAAAATTGGCCTATAATTATCTTTCTTTGTTGAGTCTTTGTATGGATTGGGTATCAGGATAACTGTGGCATTATAAAATGAGTTGGGTAACGTCCCTTCTGTTTCTATTTTATGGAGTAATTTGACGAGTATTGGCATTAACTGGTCTTTGAAAGTCTGGTTCTGTGCTGAAAGCCTTTTGGCTCTTTAGGGTGGGAAGGCTTCTAATGACTGCTTCTGTTCACTAGCAGTTGTAGGTCTATTTAAGTTGTTTAACTGCTGTTGATTTAACTTTGGTAAGTGGTACTTATTAAGAAAATTATCCTTTCCTTTTAGATTTTCAAACTTTGTGGAGTACAGGTTTTTAAAATATGTCCTTATGTCCTTATATATCTGGACTTCCTTAGTGTCTCTTGTTATGTCCCCATTTTCACTTCTGATTTTATTAATTTGGATTATCTCTCTGTGTCTTTTAGTTTGGATAAGGGTTTGTCTATTTGGTTGATTTTTCTCAAAAAAGCAACTCTTTGTTTCATTGATTCTTTGTATTGTTCTCTTTGTTTCTATTTTATTGATTTCAGCCCTCTGTTGGATTAATACTTGCCATCTACTCTTCTTGGGAGTGCTTGATTATTTTATTCCTAGAGTTT